CTATTTTTAAAAATTCGAACACCGAAACAGCGATTCACAAGCTCGACAACTTGGCAATTAAATCACAACATAAAATTTCTCGTCCGAGGCCTTTTCATAAGATCAAGGGCTCGACATTGTTCCAATATCCATCAACTTACACGACTTTTGAGGTCTCGTTCGATTCTTGAGAAAATCGAAGAGGTCCCGAACATACGAACACATAAAATCATAAAAATATATATAAACGCACATATTCACATCAAGAACTTCACACATATATATCATTGATCAACGAGCACTTCACGACAATAAACACCCAACAAAATAAATCATATACGAGTTAAACGAGACGGAAAAACGACGAGGTACCGTTCTCGGAAATAACTCGAAAAAGCGTCACGAATGCGAACGGGCTCGACGGAAGCTCGACGGGGCTCGACGGCTTCGCGCGGCTCGCCGAGGAGAGTGCTGGGGTGGTCCTTCTCGGTTGCGGAGTTGCTGCGATGGCCGAGGCGAGCCGTCAGAGGTGCTGCTGCGGGGGAATGAATCTCGCCGGAAAAAGCTTCGTAGAGAAGCAGGTCGCCGGAAGTTGCAGGTGGAAGGGCTCTCATCGTTTGGGCTCGTGGGCTGCTCGAACTCGCCTAAAAACTCGAACAAAGGATCGCCGGAGGGCTGGCCGCGGGCTGCTGACAGGAAAACGAACTCGCCGGAAGTTGCAGGTCGGCGGTGCAGCAATCGGAGAACGAGGGAGAGATGGCGACGGGTCTTCTTCTGTTCGTGGCGGAGGAGGCGAGTTCAATGGAGGGCTCGCAGTTCACGACGATCGGAATTTGAGCGAGAGAGAGTGATGATGATGACGAGATTCTGGCGACGGAAAGGACAAAGACGAGAGAAATCTGATCTTGCGAGGAAGAGATGATGATGGTGATGTCGATCAGAAAAATAAAACGAGACAAAATCTTTCTCTCTTCCCGTTACGTGAAATCGAGAGAGATGGGGAAAAATCTGAGAGCTGCGGGTTGAGTTTTGCCAAGAGAAAACGATGATGGAGATATATAAATGTATATGTGATATTAGGTTTAGGAAAAAGTCTTAATACACAATAAATCCCAAACACACACACGCACGCCTGAAGAAAAAAAAAAAAGAGAAAATCTGTCGGGCCGGGCCCGAGAAGTTGGGCCAATTAGATTTTTGGGCCGGTTGGGACAACAAATCGGCTCACGGGCTCGATTAAAAATTTAAACGGATAATGTCGGGCCAAATTCGGTTCCAACGGAAATTTATCGGGCTCGATCGAATGCAAACGCGCGATAAAATAAACCGAACAATATACATATATATTTCATATTTTTATAATACACATTAATAATTAAATATATCACAAAAATCAATTAGACAATTACACATTTAGCATTTAATCACATTTGACAATTAATAAACATAATGGCATACAAGAAAATAAAATATAAATATTATCACCAATTAATAATAACAATAATAATACTAAATCCCAAATAATCCACAAATAAACGGGGCATTACACTAACCTAGCAGCAAGAAAGAAATAACCTAGCAACAAAAAGACAACTAACCTAGCAGCATCAGACAACTAACCTAGCAGCAAGAAAGAACTAAGCTAGCAACAAAAGACAACTAACCTAACAGCAAGAAAAAAATAACCTAGCAACTTAAGACAACTAACCTAGCAACAAAAACACAACTAAACTAGCAGCTACAAATAACTAACCTAGCAACAACAAACAACTAACCTAGCAACAAAACACAACTAACCCAGCAAGAAAGAAATAACATAACAACAAAAGACAAATGGTCAACGATCAACGGCAGAGTCAACGGTCAACGCCGGAAGTCTACAGTCAACGCCGGAGTCAACGGTCAATGGTCATAATAATATTTAAATAATTAAAAATAAAGAATTAAATAATAAAAATAAATTATTATTTAAATCAAGATCTAAATCTTGTGGCTAGGAATGAGTCTCACGTCCTCACTTTAAATAAGCGGATGCATTTGAACCAATCCCTATATATATATATATAGAGGTTGTGGTTCAAATGAGAACCAAGTCCTAGCGTGAGAATCGTGAGAACCGCTATTTTTAATTGTACAAAATGCTATGATTGATTGTGTTTTAGTGCTATTTTTAACCAGGATATATTTTATTAAAAATAGCAACACAATTTATATTAGCATTTGTGAAAATGATAGCATCATATAACATTAAAAATAGCATCACACACAATTAAAAATAGCATCAAATATGGTTCTCACACTAGAAGTAGTTTTTATTTGAACCAGCTCATATATATATATATATATGGATTGGTTCCAATGCATCCGCTTATTTAAAGTGAGGACGTGAGACTCATTCCAAGCCACAACATTTAGATCTTGATTTAAATAATAATTTTTTATTTTTATTATTTAATTCTTTATTTTTAATTATTTAAATATTATTATGACCGTTGACTCTAGCGTTGACCGTTGACTCCGACGTTGACTGTTGACTTCCGGCGTTGACTTCAGCAAGAATCATTGACTTCTGGTGTTGACTGTTGACTTCCGTCGTTGACCCGTTGACCTTAATATGCATCATGTATGAAAGAATAATTAAAGACAACTAACCTTACAGCTAAAGACAACTAACCTTGCAACTAACGACAACTAACCTTGCAACTACAGACAACTAACCTTGCAAACTGAATACAACTAAACATTGCAAATAAAAACAACTAACCCTGCAACAAGATAGAACTAACTTTGCAACACAAACAACTTACCTTGCAACTGGAGAAAACTAGCATTGCAACTAGACAGAACTAACCTTGCAACTAGACATAACTAACCTTGCAACTAAAGACAACTAACCTTGCAACCAAAGACAACTAACCTTGTAAACTGAATACAACTAAACATTGCAAATAAAAACAACTCACCCTGCAACAAGATAGAAATGACTTTGCAACATATGTACACTAACTTTGCCTCACCATATTTATTTCATACACAATACATATTATGGTCAATGGGTCAACGCCGAAGTCAATGTCGGAAGTCAACAGTCAATGTTGGAAGTCAACGGCCAACGTTAAAAGTCAACGGTCAACGCCGGAAATCAACAATTTTCGCTTGAGGTCAACGTTGGAGTCAACGGTCAATGCCAGAGTCAACTAATAATTATTTTTATTATTTAATTAATGTGTATTTTAATTAATTGACATAAATCCTTTATCTAGACAAAATGAGTGGCTAAGATTGAGTCTTACGTACTCATTTTAAGGAGTGCTACATAAGACTCAATCTTAGCCACTCATATTGTCTAGATCAAGGATTTATGTTAATCAATTAAAATATACATTAATTAAATAATAAAAATAATTATTAGTTGACTTCGGCATTGACCGTTGACTTTCAACGTTGATCGTTGACTTCCAACGTTGACCGTTGGCTTCCGACATTGACTCTAGCGTTGACTCGTTGACCATAATATGTATTGTGTATGAAGTAAATATGGTGAGGCAAAGTTAGTATACATATGTTGCAAAGTTATTTCTATCTTGTTGCAGGGTTAGTTGTTTTTATTTGCAATGTTTAGTTGTATTCTGTTTGCAAGGTTAGTTGTATGTAGTTGCAAGGTTAGTTGCCTTTACTTACAAGGTGAGTTATGTCTAGTTGCAAGGTTAGTTCTGTCTAGTTGCAATGCTAGTTTTCTCCAGTTGCAAGGTTAGTTGTCTGTAGTTGCAAAGTTAGTTCTATCTTGTTGCAGGGTTAGTTGTTTTTACTTGCAATGTTTAGTTTTACTGCAAGGTTAGTTGTCTGTAGTTGCAAGATTAGTTGTCTTTAGTTGCAAGGTTAGTTGTCTTTGGTTGCAAGGTTAGTTGTCTTTAGTTGCAAGGTTAGTTGTCTGTAGTTGCAAGATTAGTTGTCTGTAGTTGCAAGGTTAGTTGTCTTTGGTTGCAAGGTTAGTTATCTGTATTTGCAAGGTTAGTTCTGTCTAGTAACAATGTTAGTTTTCTCTAGTTGCAATGTTAGTTGTCTGTAGTTGCAAAGTTAGTTCTATCTTGTTGCAGGGTTAGTTGTTTTTATTCGTAATGTTTAGTTGCATTCAGTTTGCAAGGTTAGTTGTCAGTAGTTTCAAGGTTAGTTGTCGTTAGTTGCAAGATTAGTTGTCTTTAGTTGCAAGGTTAGTTGTCTTTAATTATTCTTTCATACATGATGCATACTAAGGTCAACAGGTCAACGACGTAAGTCAACGGTCAACATCGGAAGTCAATGATTCTAGCCGGAAGTCAACAGTCAACGCCAGAGTCAACGGTCAATGCCAGAGTCAACGGTCAATGGTCATAATAATATTTAAAGAATTAAATAATAAAAATAAAGAATTATTATCTAAATCAAGATCTAAATCTTGTAGCTAGGAATGAGTCTCACGTCCTTACTTTAAATAAGCGGATGCATTGGAACCAATCCCTATATATATATATATATAGAAGTGCTCTCAACTGAGAATGAATCATAATGAAAGAAATAAGAATGAATCTACACCATCAGATTGAGCGCATCAATGACCATGATCAAGTCAAACATGATCAATCATTAATGGCAAATATGTAAATAACTTGATATCCCTTGGTCACATTTGAACATCTAAGGATACTTGTGTAATTTTGTATATCCACCCACTAAGTGGGGCCCACCACTATCTCATTGACTTAACCTCTCTCTCTCTCTCTCTCTCTCACGTAAACACACACAACACACACCTACACACACTCTTCACACACACCCATAACACACACACACACACAGCATCTCAACAGGCGTCGCCGTCGCCGTCGCCCGGCTACAGTAGCCCCGCCGCCCTGCTATACAACGCCACCGCCTAGCTTCAACAGCCCTGCCGCCCGGCCATAATAGCGTCGACGCCTAGCCACAATAGCCCCGCCGCCCGGCCATTACAGCACCGCCGCCCGTCCATCAAAGCTCCGTCATCGATGATGGAGCGTCGTCAACGAGAAGCCGGTTGGAGCTCGAGTCATGTAACTGGAGTCGCCGCGGCCGCCGGCGACAATGACGCGTCGTCGACGAGAAGGCGATCGGAGCTCGAACACGTAACTAAACGCCGATGATGATGACGCCTCATCGACAAGAAGTCGGTCGAAGCTCAATCCCGTAGTAGTCGGCGGCGGCGTATGGGGTGGAGATGCGGATCTTGCGGTTGTGGAAGTGGTACTCGCCGGTGTGAAGGTGCTGCCAGTTTTGGCTGCGCCGGAGAAGCACCAAACGGTGACGACTGACAGGCCAGGTCGGTGTATTATATGAGCTTCTATTTTCCCGGCAGTGCGGCGGTTGGCGGAGGGTAGCGGGCGGAGGGCAGTGGGCGGAGGGCATGTGTGTATTTTATGTGTGTATGTGTGTGCAGTGACGGGGACGGCCTAGGTTGAGGGAGGTGGTTCTTTTTTTTTTATCATTTTCTTTTGGGTGCAAGGACTTAAGATTAAAAATTAGACATGCTTTAGGGACCTTGTTGCAATTTTAGCATTTTTGATATATTGCACTTTAATAGATGAGGTAACTATGTAATTTATAAAAAGTTCAATAAATGCACATTAACAATACATAAAATGCACAATATGATGTGTAAACATGCACAATATTATGATTTAGGGTCTTAGTGCTTAGATTTTAAAATTACTACATTTATGTGCAATTGGTTGAATAATATTGTGCACTGGGACGCCGCTATTTTGCAGTCAACTAAACGAATTTTTGTCGTATATTAGTTCCTTTCATCGGACGATTCACTTAAAATTACTATGTACAATCAAAATAATTATACTTATATTAAACATATATTTAGTATTTTAATATTTTTTTTATTTATTTTTATATTATTTTTAGTTGAAAAAAAAATATATGTAATACCAAAATAGATAAAGTGCATACACACAAGCAAAAATGTGCGTTTAATATATCATTATTGTGCATTCTATTGGACGGATATTTTTTATGTGCATTTTAATTTTAGAGAACTTTAATAATGTGTATTTTAATTAACATTGTTTGTGCATTCATTAAATTATGTATATAAAGAAAAATATATTTAGTATATATTATTTTGTATTTATTTATATAGTCAAAATAAATTTTATACATATAAAATATAAGAATAATAGTTTTTTACATAATCAAACAGTTTTGTTATGTGTTTTTTTTTTTTAACTTTTTTTCGTTTTCTGGTAAATAAAGTCGAAACAAGACCGAAATGAACAAAATTTTTATATATGTGAAAAATTGCACTCTATTATGTTAATGTGCATTATAAAATATATTAATGTCCATCTGGTATAACTTTGTTGTACATTCTGTCTTTTGATACTCACTAAATTATATTTAGTTTTTTAATATTTTTATTTAATTTTATATATATATATATATTTTGTTTGTCTAAAATACATAATATACATTTATTGAAAATATTTATATATTATATATAAAATAAATTTTTATATATTTTCTTTTATAAATTATATATTTGACTTATTTATATATATTTGTATAAATTATATATTCAACTCATGGACTAAATTGAAATAATAATAAAATGTTTGAAATTTTCAAAAATTACATATGTCCTTGATATCTATCTAATTCTCAGAATGAGACCCATAAACTTTCAAGAATTACACATAAGTCCACTTTTCACTCTTTGAAAATACCCTCGCCGCCGCAGCCTGGCATCACTGTCACCGTCGCCGGCGGATATTCGTCGGCTTTTGCCCTCCCAGACGGCAGCCCTGCACCGCACTGTTCGTATCCATCTCCGGCGACGGAAATTCTCCCACTTCCGCCCTCTCAGCCGCACGCAGATTTGCCGACCGGATCGCCGTGGCCGCTATCCGCCAGAGTGTGGATCGACTCCGGCTGTGCTAAGTCAGAAACCTCCGCCTTACCTGACGCCCTCCCGTTGATCCCGACGCAGTTTCTTTCTTGCCGGTGGAGTTGAGTTCTCCGGTTGTAGACGGCGAGCTATACCCCGGAGCATGTCATGGCGCTGTTGTTGTGGCGGATGTGATCGGCGGGCTTCGGGTGAGTGTCTCGCTCAACCGCCGTATGCGTGTGTGACTCTGTTGTGTATGTGTGTGTGAGTCTCGCTTGGGTTGTGTGTGTGAGAGAGAAAGAGAGTAAGAGAGAGAGAGAGAGAGAGAGAGAGAGAGGAGATGTGTGTGTTGTGTGTGAGAGAGGAAAATTAATGTTACAGATATTAAAGTATGTGTGTGTGCATCGGTTGGTGTGTGTATGGGGGAGGGAGAGAGACATTAATTAATGTTAGCTAGCTAGTGGGTGTTGGCGGCCCGGTGGGGTGGTTCCATTAATTTGGGCAGTATATAAATTGACCACATTACCCTTAGTGTGTTTAAAATTTTGAGTTTTTTCTAACTGTTGGATGATTAGATCATGTGGCTAGAATTTATTCTTATTTCTTTCATTAAGCATCCTTCTCACCGGAGTGCGACCTATATATATATATATATAAGTACGCTCAAATGAGAATGAGCTATAGTGAAAGAAATAAGAATAAATGTAGGCCTTTAGATCTAGCAAATTAATGGTCATGATGGAGTCAAAGATAGTAATTAAAGTCAAATTCATTAAGGCTAATTTAGTCATTTGACACTCATTAAGGGTATTTATGTCATTAACAATAAATCCTAATCTAATGGGCCCCACCCCAATCACAACCCTAAATCTCTCTCATTTTCACACACACACATTAACCCCCGCCACACACAAACACGCAGACACACACACACACACACAATACACACACCACATCAACGGTCAACACCGGTCAAATCCACTGGTCAGTCGCCGGCAACTGACAGAATCGCTGCTGCAATAGTCTCTCGTCACCATCCGCTACTGAATCTCGAATTTCCGGCGAAAAAGGCTTCCAGTACGGCAGAGTAGAAATATACGGCTCGGTGCCGATTGTGGGTCGCCGAGAGCTTATTTTCCGGCAGCAGAGACGGAGGAAGATGAACGGAGGAGGTACGTGGTCGACGGATAGTTGCAGTGGTCGGGCGTCAATGAAGCATCGGCAGAGATCTGTGGTCTCAGACGCCGAACGTCGGCGACCTGGTGGGAGAAGATGCCGCGGACAGAGGGCGGATGGCGGCGGGCGAAGGATGGCGGGCGGAGGGCGCTGGTCAGAGGCATAAGGCTTAGTGACGGGAATTTGTTTTTTGTGTACAGAGACTGAATATTGAGAATTGGATAAGTGATAGGGACTTTGATGCAATTTTCAATTTTTTTTTAATTTTTAATATTTTAATATGTGTTGCATTCTTGTAATTTATTAAAAAATTAACAATTGCACATTAATGGCACATTCAATGCACAATATTGTGGGTTAAAATGCACAGTAAAAATCACATTGTCATTTTATTATACTATAGATATTACATTGCTTACGGTTAGGTCGATATGGTTGTTTCGTTGTTTTACATAATAGTGTCGACATAGAATCCAAATATTCAAACTATTAAAAGTAAAAAAAAAAAAAATAGATAATTAAATCGACATATGAAAAATTCGAACTTCGGTTGTCCTCGGTCAATAGTGTGCAATCTGGTAGAAATTAGTGTGCAACTTGTCCAACACGAGTGTGCACGGTCTCGATTGCTTTTGTGCATCCTAATCTGACCAAATTTTTTATTTCAACGTACATTAGAATTAATGTAAAATATTTGGTGGATTCTACCGGTTAACTGTATATCCTAAATAATCAAACAAATTTATTATTTATATTAATATTATATTTATTATTTTAATAATTTAATTTAATAATTTTATATTTTTTTTGGTTGAAAAAACATAATATATAAAATCATGAATTTGATGTTGTGCATTCACATGTACAATAATGTGCATTTAGTTTAACATTATTGTGTACATATTGTGCGTGTATTTTTTATTGTGTTATAATTTTATAACAACAAGTTAATAATGTGTATTTCAATTAATATGATTGTGCACTTACCAAATTATTTATATAACAAAATATATTATTATTTATAAATTTTATTTAATACTATATAGTATTGTTTATCGACAATAGTTAATATACATATAGTTCGTCGGTTATGTTATTTTATTTATTTTCTTCGTAATATTGTGCATTTGATATGACAATATTGTGCATTCTGACTTTCACTAATGTGCATCTTGTTTGGTAATATCGTGAATTATGTAGTGCGACGTACCGTAATTAAAATAATATTTTTTTATAGTAAAAATACATTAAGTATTTTATTAATTTAATTTAATATTTTTATATTATTATTGATTAAAAAACCATAATATATAAAATGCTGAAATCAATAATGTCCACTCGTATATACACGAATGTGCGTTTAGTTTAACATTATTGTGCCGTCTATTAAGCCACTATTTTTTTTATCATTTTTTTGTGTGCATTTCAATGTAAAAAAACTTTAATATTGTATATATTAATTAACATTACTGTTTATTTATCAATTATTTGAATAATAGAAATATAAATAATTTTTATAATTGCTTATATAATATTTTACATTATTTTTTATTGAAATCAAAACAATACATGACTATTTAAAATGTAAATAATATTTTTGTATATAGTCTGATCGGTTTCGTCATTTCATTTTATTTATTTTGTAAATAAGGTGGAATTTGGAATGAAATAACCTAGATTTTAATATTTGTAAAAAATGCGTATTGTTATGCCAATGTGCATTCCCAAATGCATATTTTCTCGAATGCTTTAATATGCACTTGGTCTAACGTTATAGTGCATGGTAACAGTCACTTACGTGCATAATGTTTATAACTATTGTGCACTCAATCTGGATTAATTTACGAGCAAATCTAAATTAAAGTTGAAGTAAATAAATAATTGAATTATTTATGTGATTAATCGAGTTAACTTAAATAATTAAAATATTTTATTATTATGATAAAAGTATATTTAGTACTTTAATATTATTGTTTGCTTAAAAAAAATATAATATATAATATATAATATAAGTATAAAGAAATACATAAAAAATAATATTATTATCTATTTTTTACAAATTACAGATTTGGCCCAAGGGCTTAATTGAATATAAACAAAATATTGAAATTTGTAATGGAGCCCCTATAAATTATTAGATTCTCAACCACAAGTCCCTAATTTCCAAATCAACACCCACGTCTTTGTCCGGCTGAATTCCTGCACCGCCACCGAGTCCATGTCCCCCCCAACCACCAGTGGGGCGAAACCCGACACCCACGACTTGTAATTGGTCTCGATTTCCCCTACCAGTTGCTCCACGTCCGCCTGCTCAAACCCACCCAAATAGTCTGCCGTGTTGAGAAACCTAATTATATATACAATTAACCAATCATAAAGTAATTAATTATTTAATTCCATTCATGAATTAATTAATTAATTAATTAGGTACCTCGGGGAAGCGGAGAGCATGACGATTTTTTGGAAGAGGTCAGGGAGGATGATGGAAGCTATGGCGCTGGTCATGGCGGAGAGAGAGCGACCTCACGTTGAAGTACGGGCGGGATGCGCAGACTGGAGGCGGCGGCGGACTGACGGCGTAGATGGCGGTGGAACGGGGCAGGCAACGATGGTTCTGTGTGTGTGTGTGTGAGTCGTGTGCAAAGTGTGTATACGGGGTGTGTGTGCTGGTGGTTTGTGTGTGTGTGTGTGAGAGAGAGAAGGGGTGTGGTGGGATGGGGTTGTTGGGGTGGGTGATGGAATAATGGCATCACATGGCCACGTGGCAGGGATGTATTGGTTGTGTGTGAGTAAATAGTTGGTGTGGTGCCTACTGATTTATTATGAAAATGTCCTAATTACCCTTAATGAAAGTATAATTTTAATTTTTTTGTAGTCATTAGATCATCCGATCTAATGGCTAGGATTTATTCTTATTTCTTTCATTGAGCACCTTCCTCACTGGAGTGCATCCCTATATATATATATATATATATATATATAGCCATATAAAGATATACCAGCCCAAAGGCTATCTACTCGACCGGATAAGTGGCGAAAACCGTTCGCATGTCGACATGAACCTGTCGACTTGTTCAAGTCAACTTCCTCAAAGACGACTCTTCATATGATTAATGGCGAGAAGCAGCAGATCTCATAAAAGTCGACTTGCGGAAGTCGACTTTGTGCAGTCGACTCCCCTGTAGTCGACATCCATTTGGGCAGACCAGCAAGAAGCGTAGCCTCCGAATAACTAGAAGATCCTGAGTCGACTCGTCCATGCTCGATGTCGATTTCTCCTACCTCGAGACGTGAGGCACACTGACGACTTCATACACTTAGTAACATACTCAAAGCTCTGCATTCTCCAAAGGATAGGAAGTAATCTTGTGATGACTCAGCAGCAAGGGGAGACGAATCGACCGGGGCAATTTAGACCTTACA